TCCCTCCCTCCCTCCCTTCCTTCCTTCCTTCCTTCCTTCCTTCCTTCCTTCCTTCCTTCCTTCCCACACCAAGAAAAACCTTCCCTGGGAGGGGCTGCAGCGGCATTCATGGAGGGGACCGCGAGGGTTAAAGACAAGCGGAGGGAAAAAATATAAAAACAGCATTGAAACTGGGAAGCCGATAATTGGCGTCACCGGTCACAGCCTACTCACCACTCGGTCTCCTCTACCCTGCCTTTGATATCTTCTAGTTCAGCTTAAACTCACCCTGGGGATATTCGAGGGCCAATTTGCCTCTGTATTCAATGCACAGGCGTGTGGGGTCCTCAGGCACTTTGCTGAGGCACATGCCAGAGTGCTCCCTGGTGGGTTGCATTCCATGCAAAGGATGTTGTACGATATGCCCTGCCCACGTTAGAAGTGGCAGACGGAAACCCTATGACCTTTAAGCGCATTTGAGTGCCAGCACCTCTCAGGTTAAGAAATAAATACCGAGCCACACCTCTGCCCAAGCCGCTCTGGCACCAGAGCCCAAATCTGTAAGGAACGCAGACCAGACGGCCATAGCAACAGAGAATCAAGGAAGAGAAGAAAACGATGGTGCAGCGGGAAAAGAAACCGTATTTCACCCGAGGATCCCTACGCAAGTGGCGCCCAGCTTTGTCAGGAGAGCTCTATGGTCTCACAGATCCTCTGACGAGGCTGCATAACCAACGCGTAGGGATCCTCAAATGAAATATAATTTCTTTTCTCCACTGCGCCACTGTTTGGTGTAGCGGTTAAGAGCGTGGAGTCTAATCTGGGAGAGCTGAGTTTGAGCCGAGAGCAGAGAGCCTACCTCACAGGGTGTCTGTTGTAGGGAGGGGAAGGGAAAGGAGTTTGTAAGCCGCTCTGAGACACCTTTGGGTAGTGAAGGGCGGGGTATAAATCCAGTCTCTTCTTCTTCTTCTTTGAGCTTGATTCCCCACTCCTCCACACACAGCTGCTGGCGTGACCTTGGGTCAGTTCCAAGTTCTCTCAGAGCTGTTCTCTCAGGAGCAGTTCTCCTAGAGCTCTCTCAGCCCCACCTACCTCACAGGGTGTCTGCTGTGGGGAAGGGGAAGGGAAAGGAGATTGTAAGCCACTCTGAGACTCTGAGTGAAGGGCAGGGTATAAATCCAATCTCCTCCTTCTCTTCTTCTTCCCCAGCTCTCTCTGGGCTGCTTGGGCTATCTCACGTCACTTCTTCCCGTGCAGAGATTTCAGAGCGAAGCATTCTGCGCATATTCCAAGGCATGCAACCAGCTGTGAAAACGCCCCCTCTTCAGAGATCAACGGTGCAATCCCATGCAAAGTTACGTACTCCAGTCTACGCCAATGATTTCAACAGAACTTAGACTGGAGTAAGTCTGCACAAGATTGCACTGTAAGCGTTGACGCTAACGAAGTCTTGCCGAGGTGAGTGCGAGCAGGCAGGTGCCTGGGGCCATCCCAGAAGAGTCATTTTTTTTTCCGGGTGGGGGAACCCTGTTGCCACTGCAGTGCCATTAAGATTCGTCCTAGAAAGGCAACAGGAAGTGATGCAACCATACATCACCTGCGCGTCCAGTTCAGCCCTGCTCCTGCACAGCTCCCGGAAGCCTAGGGATGTCAGCTCTGGGTTGAGAAATTCCTGGAGATTTGGAGGTGGAACCAAGGGTGGGAGGGGCACAATGTTACACAGTCCTAAGCAATGTGCCCTCTAATTCTTTCCCCCCCTGCTGGCTGGAGCGGCTCACATCCTGAGCATAACAGAACTGCTGTCATCTTAAAATGGGCAATCAGCAGCTCTCCAGATTGTGGCTGTCGAGCGGGGCTTCCTGTGTTAGCGGGCGGCCGCTCACGGGCACAGCCTTAGAGGGGACACTGGTCATAGGGTTAGGTCAAGATGCGTAGCCGCGTTGCGGTAGAAAAGGGCAAGAGTCCAGGAGCACCTTAAAGACGAACAAGATTTGTGGCAGGGCGTGGGCTTCCGTGAGTCACTGCTCACTTCTTCAGATACCCGAAGAAGTGAGCAGTGACTCATGAAAGCCCACGCCCTGCCACACATTTTGTTAGTCCTTAGGGTGCCCCTGGACTCTCAGCTCTTTTCTACTGGTTACAGGGTTAGGGTTGCCAAGTCTGGGTTGGAAAATACCTGGAGACTTTGGGGGTGGAGCCAGGAGAGGGCATGGTTTGGGGAGGGGAGGGGCCTCCGCATAGTACAATGCCATAGAGTTCACCCTTCAAAGCAGCCATTTTCTCCAGGGGAGCTGATCTCTGTCGGCTGGGGATCAGTGGTAAAAGCGGGAGATCCCCAGGCCCCACCTGGAGGTTGGCAACCCTATACAGGGTGTATAGCTGGGGTGGCCAAACTGTGGCTCGGGAGCCGCATGCGGCTCTTTCACACATAGTGTGCG